TTCATTGCTAGCATGAGCACTAGATACAGTGCGGGCTGCACTACGGGTATTACCGGTTAGTAGTATTTCCAGGGCCGATGTCAAATGATCTGGGCCAGTCATCACTGTTGATATATCATTCAGTTCATTGACCCCATCGCTGTCATGAGATATCGGGGTGGCGACTTGATCATCAGGAAGAGACAAATTACTGGTCAGTACGTCTGTGTTTATAATGACATTACTATTTAGACTTAATTCCTGACCCATCACAACTGTTGAAGTGTCATCTGCATTATGTGTTGCACTGTTCTCTACTCTACCATGTACTGATGAATTTATACTTTCATAGCTATGAGCAACCATTCCTAAAACAAACCCAATTACTTACAAAACAATACATAAAATGTGTTGTTTTTTTGGATTGATTTGTCAACACGGTCTTTATGTAGCCGCGGTCACATCTTACGGTCACGCACGTAGATGACATCAGTAGACCTTAGTTAAACGTAGTTAAAAACGTAATTAACGAAATCCATGATTTGACCGTGGTTAGCCCAAAATTTGTCAACATGTTCAAAATATCCGTATGGTGATCTTGGATGCGAAGACTGTACTGTGACCGTCGGTTGAACATAGTTGACCATAATAACAACCTAGTTTCACTACGGGGAACTACGTGCGTGACCGTAAGATATGACCGCAGCTTGAAGTAAAATATTGACACCTATGCTATGACTCAATATCTAGCCTAAAAAGTAAAGATGGGCTGGGGTTTTTTTTATTTCATAGGTCTAAATTACTATACAAAGAAAACATTTCCGCTGAAACTCCGATGAAAAGAAAACTAATGAGGTTTGTCTATGATATTTTAAATGTTTTCTGGATTTATCTAATAGACTCACGTATTTGTGATCAAAATAAAGTATTGATCTTGTGTATTGTTTCGAAAAATGCGAGAGAGAGAGAGAGAGAGGGGGGGGAGGGTTTAACGTCCTCTCGACATAAACTAGGTCATTTCGGGACTAACATATGGTTCAATTTTATTTTCATAATTCGCTTGCGCGTAGGGTCTTTGGCAGTGGGAGGAAACCGAAGGACCCGGAGAAAACCCACACGGTTGGACAGGCGATCCTACTCCGGGGAATTTCGAAAAATGCAATTCAGAATATTTGTTTATGTTAGTTTCGATCTTGGCATACACACAATGGTGGGTCCGATAGCTTAAATGTAGACAAATACTCATTTCGCTAAATCAGCACATCAACTTTAATTAATTCGACAATGCAAGTGTATTTGTGTTACTCAAATCAAATGTATTGAATCCTTTCAATTATCTAAGCCTGGCTGAAGTAATACTTACCGATACTGTCCACTCGTTCTCCACGAATGAGCTTTCTTCTAAAATACAACGTATTTGCTGCGAGGAGGATAAAAAATAGTACCATCAATCCGATCACTACCATAACGATTAATTCGACACGACCAGAACCTACTAACAGAATTAAGGTATTATTTGAGCAGAAAGTTGATTCATTTTGTAACTAACATCTTGTACTTATATATCTATTCTTGTACGTAAAATTCCAGATGACGAGACACAATTTCCATAGCTAAGCCTTTTCTTGGACAGTACCTCGATGCGAACCAGGAACATTTTGGTGGCGAGTCACAACCGCACAATGCCGGTATCAGGCAAGAGGGTTTATACACGTATATTAATAGCAAGTCAAGGTGCGTATAGCTACGGTCATTAGGGAGCATTGGACTAGTCGCTTAAATGGAATAATTAATTGGCTGTACCTTCATCACCTGGCCACAGGGTATCAGTTTTATCGTCCAGCGGTATGGAGGAAGATGGAACAGTTCCAGTGATATCAACAGTGCTACCCTTCTCCAACGCTAGAAACAATAAACAATTACGGTAGAAAACAGGCGCCAAAATTTCAAAAATTAAAGGTATGGTGTATGGTCAAAGTTCTTCAAGGTTTTATCACAGATAGAACAACTAAAACATTAGCTAGTCGATATGCCACATATGATTCTAGAAATTAATGAAACAGTCTCAAAGGTCAATTTTACTTAAATTGCAATTTTACTTGCACAGGTATCGCCATTAGGAAATATTTAATTAGTCTTATATATGGAATATTTAAATGGTTATACCTTCATCACCTGGCCACGGGGTATAAGTTTTATCGTTCATTCGTATGGAGGCAGATGGAACAGTTCCCGGGACATCAACAGCGCTACCCTTCTCCAACGCTAGAAACAATTAACAATTACTATTATACTAGGTTATGCCACAGATAAAATAACAAAAACATCAGCTAGTAGTTATGCCATATATAATACTAGAAATTACTTATATTGTACATTTGACATCTTAAAACAAAATAAATAAAATTTCGTTTTAATTTGGTTGTCTAATATATATTAGTGCCCACCTAAGACCTTAGCCTATCGAAATACTCCTCCCCAAATCAACTTTTATACTGACAACTATTTGTGATAATATAATGAGCCATACATGTAACTTGTTTAAATATATAGCAATATCTACACCATTTGTTAATAGTAGTGGTGCACGAATAACTCACCAGAAACAATGAGCTGTACATCTTTAGTTTCTTGTGCTATGTTTATTAAACACGTGTAAATTCCAGCATCGTCATAGCGTACTTTGGTTATAGTTAAAGTTATTTTTGAATCTCTGATAATTATGGATAGTCGATCATCCGGGATTATTAGTTTATCTGGCCTACCGTGGGCAATGTTAACCTGTAAAATAACAAAACGAATCAAACTAAATGTAATCATTACTAAAGTAGTGCAATAGTTAATTCGCACAGGTGGTTGGGCGACCGAATGGTTTAATGCATGCGCGTTAGATCATAAGGGTTGTCACTAAATCAAGTGGGTTCGATTCCCCGTTTATATATGGCAAGGGTCGGGGTTGCCTGTCCGACATCGTGGGTTTTCTCCAAGTACTGGACGTTACCCCCCCCCCCCCTCCTCTCTCTGTCAAATTGCCAGTTATGTTGCCAAGATGACACACAGTTCGTCTGTTTAGAGATCCCCATGCCCTTATTGACCGTGAATCGATGAAAAATGTTTGAATTGACATTTTCTGACAATGGACCAAGCTAAGGGGAGGAAAGAACATAACTGATGGACTAAGGCTATTAATTATCTCCTCATAAACGTAGACCCCATGGCATTTTTGGGCCTATTCCTTTTTCTGAACTTTCCGATGATCTTAATTTTTATAACACGTCACACGTGTAATAGGATATTCACCTACTAAATCACCCACTTATAATTCCTATGGCCGACCTAGAAAAAGAATCGTTATTGTCAACTTCTGTTATCAGATTATTTTGACATGTTATAAAAATTAAGATCATCGGAATTAACAAAAAAAGAATAGGCCCAAAAATGTCATGGATTTAATATAGACGTTAATGAGGAGATAACTAATAGCCTTAGTCCATCAGGTATGTACTTTCCTCACCTTAGCTTGGTCCATTATACTAATCTTAAAAACACATCTTTTATTATAAACAATACTAGGTTAACTGTCTTAACTACTGCACTATCATCTTCTTCAAAAACATTACATAACATACGATTACATTTAATCAAGCAAAGAAAGCAAAGGACATCAACGTATGCCCTATGGCAGATCACAGTAAAGATCACAGACAAAAACGTCATCAAACCCTCCGTCGTGACCAGAGAGGAGACCACGATGAACAATCTCGAGTTACTTTCTCGGCCAACTCATGGATTGAACCAGTGACCTAGCGGTTTGTGAACCACCACCTGACTCAGACAGTCGATAAACAGTTATAAATTAGCTAAACTCATTTGTAGGAACCCTAAATTAGCCCTTACCTTGTAAACGCGTTTTATTGCCTTCCGCTGTTCGGAGATTACATTCCAGCACTATTAGAATGTGTTTTAAAAAATAATTCATCTGTCCGTCACATCTCAGTCAATATAAATGCTCGGTTCAAATAATTTCGCAGTTTTACAAAGGGCATGACATTCTGAGGGAGTGTACCCGACATGAAACGATCTTATAGTAATCCTTCTTCTAATTAAAGTAGGATGTTCAATCTCAGGGAGCAAAGCTACACTTCACATCGTTTTGATTGTCAAGACGTCCTGGTGCCGAGACAACTTCTGGTTAGTTTATATGGGAGTAGGTAACGTGTGTATGTGGGAGTGGGCTTTGTCTTAGTTAAACACAACCTAACAAAGTGGTCAAAGGTCTCACAATGAGATAAGATAATAAAAAAAACTAACAACTCACCAAATTTACATTGTAACTTCAAAAGCGAAATCGTCTTTATTGTCATGGCCCATTCTTTTTAAAAATCTTCAAACGTTAAAAAATGTTTGAGAAGCATATCTAATTGAGATAACGTTCGGTCAACAACTATATAGGCGATCTTTGTTCTCCCGCTCACTGTTATTGTATGCGTTGTATTATCTATTTTATTGTGGTCCTACCCCCATTGATTCAAAAGCTTCTAAATCCCCTACTGATTGTACATAATGGATAAAGCTAATGTTAAGATACGTCGATTTTCTCTTCATGTTTCGACAAAGTATTCCAAAAGGGAAGTTAAAATATTTATTAAATAACCCGATGTAAGTGTCGCTGCTATTGTACGATAATCTCGTGTAAACCGTGCAAGATTCTGAGTAGCAGTATTTGCATGTCCCTTTTTTCCAGACTAAAATTCAGATAATCGATATAATTCTAAATGAAATAAAAAAATTACCGTGTTATTGTTATGTTTTACTACTATGAAGTGTATATTGGTTGACTTCATTGACCAGTGAATATGGGCTGTTCCATTTACACTAACGGTTTGAATTGGAATTGTTCGGGAACCTAAAATGTATTTATTTACAAATTCAGAAAATTAATATCTAATTAATCAGGACTGTTTAACTCTTATTTCAGTGGGAACAAAATAATTGTCAGTTAGTTTATGAAAATGTATATTGGTTGACTTCATTGACCAGTGAATATGGGCTGTTCCATTTACACTAACGGTTTGAATTGGAATTGTTCGGGAACCTAAAATGTATTTATTTACAAATTCAGAAAATTAATATCTAATTAATCAGGACTGTTTAACTCTTATTTCAGTGGGAACAAAATAATTGTCAGTTAGTTTATGAAAGTCAATCGTTATGGTACGAAAAGACATATCATGGCTTTTAATGCCCCTTGTCGTCATTTGCATTTTGTAGACATTATCGAAAGTTTGATAGTTAATCCAAGCTAAGATGTAGCCATGTAATTAGAAAGAAAATGTAGGTAATCCCTCGGCTTGGTTTCAGTCGGAATAAGAAAAGATTTTTGCGAAGATTATCGTAGGTTCAAGCTTCTTTTGACCATATCCCGTCTATATCTTCTGCCTGATGTTGACAAATTTTCAGTTCATCATATCTTTGAAAAATTGAAAGCAAGGTGCATGCATTTAAAACAATAATTATAATACTATTTGAAACTATAAGGCATTAAACTCGGTGATAACGATTAAGATAGCTCGAAGCAAATTAAAGGTGTTTTCATCTGAGGTTTTCCCCTTTAAACCCGTCCATTTCAGTAATGTTTTGATATCCATGATACATGTACATTTATGTTCAACATAATACTGTGATTTTTTTTATTTAGTTGCTGAATGTATCAAAATAGAATACACAGATATTATTTTTTAAAAATCCGTAATATATTTTAATCAGTTTAATCATATAGTAAAATGAATGAATTTAATCATACCTGAACAGCTTGTATCAACAAGAAGGCCTATTATAAAAAAAAATAAATGTATGGATCATTTTATTTGTAAATACTTTGGGCACTGAATATCTTTGGAATGTAACAAGTTGCCACTTGGGCGTATACAATTGAACAAGCCCCTGGCGAGGCTGGTGTCCCCAGCCCCAATCCCAAAATAAAGAAATGAAATGAAATGGTGTTTAACGTCCTACTTCTCCGAACTGGGCTAATGAAGACGGTCGTACGCTATACAGTGTACTATGAGGGAAATCTTACCCAGACAGCGCCACTACGGCCTACTCTTATATCGAATTCCAACTGTCAAGGGATCTTTTACGTGCACGCCATTGTGTGCACGGGACCTCGGTTTTTCGTCCCATCCGAACGACTCGACAGCTGTACTTGTCAGGCCCTCCGTCATGCATCACTGACAAGGGGGTACCACGCCGCAAAATCTGGATGAACTTTCTCGGCCAATGCAGGGATCGAACAATCGACCTCCAGGCTAGCTAGCCAGCGTTTTACCCACTTAGCCACCTTGACCCCCCCCCCCCCAAAAAAAAAAACAAAAAAAAAATATAAAAAATAGAGAGATGACACCTGACATATTGATTAATTGCACATTTATCTTTTTGAAAAGTATTGAGCAATCAAACTGATTATCTATTCTTTGTAAAACATAAATATTTACGATCGAACTCGGTCATGGTTTTGAAATACCTGGTAGTGAAACTATACACTAGGTTTCATCACTCTCCGTCAATTAGAATCAAAGTTATCTTATCAAAAAGCACCAACTAATGAAATTGCTTACGTCTGCTTAGCTTTAGCTCGAAATGTTAATCATAGAACTCAGTCAAGACATTCACCTAATGAATATCTACATCAAGTTTAAACATTCTTCCTCAATTAAAAGCAGAGTTGTTATGTTCCAGTGTCTTGCAATTGACCAATAAATTTGCTTATCACTTCTTCGCCTGAGCAGAAAATTATCGAACTTAGTCAAGGTATTGAAATAATGAAACTATAAGTTGAGTTACATCGCTGCACCCAATATGTCCCAAAGTTATCGTGTTCCAATATCTCGATCAACCAACCAAGGCATTCACCTAATAAAGAACTAAACCAACTTTCAACATTCTACCTCAATTAGAAGGAGTGTTATTGTGTTCGTAAGTCTCGACCTATCCGGTTGAAGTCTCCACTGAGTCGAAGCATAAAATGCCCATCATCCAACTTAGTGAAGGAATTGGTGTAATGAAGCAATTCCCACCCTATTAGAATCAATGTTATTGAGCTAAAAAGTCTTGACCAATTAATTTGTTTATCGCTTTGCTTGTCCTGAGCAGCAAAAACTCATTATCGAACTTAATCAAGGTATTGCTATAATGAGACTATCCAAGTTCCATCACTTAATTAGAACTAAAGTTATCGTGCCCCAAAGCATTAACAAATCAAATTGCGTATCTCTGCTTACCCCAAGCAGAAAATGCTCAACGTCTAATACCATCAAGACATGCACATAATAAACGCATGTCCCAAGTTTGAAAATTATAGCTCAATTAGAAGGAGAGTTATTGTGTCCCCAAGAAAGGTGTTACGGACAGACAGACGTATGGGCAGGCAGGCCGTTTTAATAGTCTCCTGGTTTTTTTCGAAATGCGGGTGACAAAAATTTGATTGACATCTGATTTTATTTCAGATTGATGTTATGGGTCTAATCTAAAAAAAAAACAGTCGTGTATTGTATAGCCCACCACCGCCACCACCACCCCATCCGACCGAGGCATAAACACCCGCGCGGCATCCAATATTCACTTAATCAATATTGTGTAAATGGGAATGTACCTATTAAATTGATAATAACAGAATACAATGATTAAAAAATATACATACTGATCATCAATAAATTTCGATATTGAATTCCAAACATGTTGATAACTATTTGTAGTTCCTTCTTTCATAATCAGTCTAGATGTCTCTTTGTAATATGGTTATCCTCTTCGATACATTGGCAATATTATATGTCTCATTTTGTGATAACACGTTTTGTTTGATTTTGAAACGATCCATAAAATAAAGTAATTATTGTGAGGTAATTATTCCAGCATCAAATATCGTAGCCAAAGTGAACATAATCACATCAAATTAATCATAACATTACGCCCGTGAAGGAGCAGAAAAGTAGGGCGTCATATTTAATTTAATTTTTGTGCATGCTTATAAAACACATATCAAACAAAAATTGGTTACATAAAAGTCCTTTAATGAATCATGTTAGTCGCCCGAACACCATTTGTTCAGTTTGTAAGAAAATAATAAATACAAGATCAAGATCTTTAAACTGTATTATATGTGTTATGCGTCAAGATCAAAAGACCGGAAACCTAAATAAACTCTGTAGCTACATTAATAGTCACTGACAATGGATTGAGTCAAGTGGTAGGCCGGTAATATGAAATTTTCATACAACAGGATACAATAAATACGACTGTTGTGGTAGTTAAAGATGCGTTATAGATTTAGATAAAGAGCTATTCTTCTTTCTATGATAGTTCAAAAATAGATAACGCAAAATGAATATATTGTACGTGTCATTCAAATTACTTTATTCTTGGCGAAGTTATCACCGTTTGAAGTTTTGACACGATTAGTTTATTATCGTAACAACGGTACTTGTTATTCGAGACTTGGCATCACTTAGCCATTTTTAAAGTAAATCATTAAATGCCGAACTATTTTAATTGTTTAAATCTATTACCCGATGCTCTAGAGGGTTAATTATATTGTTGTCGTGTTAATAGATGTCTTCATAATAGTTTATATAACTTTTGAAACCAAAATATATTTTGACTTTAAAATTATTTTATTGCATCGACATTTCATTGTACAATACAAAAGGATTAAACAAAAGTTCTAACAACTTCGAGGACCCAACAAGGCACACTGTATAGTCGTTCGGATGGGACCGAAACCAGAGGTCCCGTGTAAATATTGTGGGGGGGGGGGGGGGGCGTGAAAGCCCCCTTGGCAGTTGGAATACAATATAAGAGTAGGCCGTAGCGTCTCTGTCCTGGCAAGATTTTCCTCAAAGCACATATATGGAGAATGGCCTGACGTACTATAAAACAACATTGCATTCATTCATTCCATAGTATCTCCTTTCTGGGTTATTCATGACTGCGATGAAGTAGAATCAAGAGGTAAACAAATAGGGGAATCACCCTAAAGATTTATTGGATCTCAAAAAGTTTTTAATACTGTCTTGGTTTTTGATTTATAATGGGCCTCTTACATAAATTATATGTTAATATTTATTTATTTCATTCAATTATTTCTATAGCACTGTATTCGCCAGATGCACTTTATCCGCATGATACCATGGCCAAACACATCTACTTTATAAATGGCATAGGAATTATAAGATGAACTATATAGCATAGTGTACTAGTAAATAGTAAAGTATATGAACTAGTGAACGATATTCATGTATAAGATTTCTCCTCGTCACGTCTGGATTGATCAATAGGAATACTAGGTTATTGACCTGGCGCCCACCAGCGGAATGTTTCTATAAATCTGGGGGTCCACTGATGAATTAGGCCTCGGGCTTAAAAGTAGGAAAATCGATCGCGCTCTTTGCTGCATGCTAAACCACAGAAACCCAATATCACCACAATGCTGTTCACAGTGTCCTATTTTGTTATGCGATTCTAATCTGTTACTGAGAATTTCATTTTGCATACCAAACAAAGATACGCCAGCCTATATGCAAATATTACCAAGAGTAGCTAGTTATAACTAGGCCAAGTATCTGAATATGAATAGCATTCATCCTCTCATAATCCCGATTCGGCATAAATGAAATGTGTTTTAACGTGAAAATGTTCTGCTCCGACTTCGATTCATTTCATTTCCAAATTGGTGTGAACGAACCCTATTAATTTTCAGCAATGCGTGATCTTTTATTTTGGGGTTGACCCGCTTGCCTTAAAACACTGTTAATACGATAGTGGCTATAGTTTAAAACAGTTTATTTTTCAAAATAAATGTGAAGCATTGGTGGCACGATAGCATTCAAGAGTTACCTCCCCTTTGGCTTACAGTTCTGTTCGGCGTGACTGTTAGAAGACGATGCATCTTGTTATTGTCAGCAATGTAGGACACTCATTTTGGAAAAGCTAGTGAATACGATAATGGTTCTTATTCTTAAAGGCATCAAAGTTGGTCACTATTCCCTTTTTCCTGTCCGATAAGCTGCTGTATGTGGCACTATTTTGTCGGAGATATAGCTGTTTTGTCGGAGATATAGCTGGGTTTTTTTCGCGACATAGCTGCTGAGTTGGCGTATTTCCATGTGTTACCTGTGAAGGAAATTGAGCTATAGTCGGGCGCCATCCAAAAAAAACAAGATAGACCTCTTAAGTCTATGAATATTGATGTTGTAATTGTGTGAATTGCACTGTAATATTTCTAAAATAGTAATAAATAATCGATATTAAAGTGTGCCTTGGTTTCATATACAGCCGAAATGGGCAAAATCTTAAATAAAACGAAGTTGATGCTCCTACATAGAAATGAATCCGTGTTAACCTTGTGACTTTTCTTCGTCAACTGAGATAATGAAGACTCTCGTACGAAATTTTATGAGGAAACTTTTGCCGGGACAGTGGCGTTTCTGTCTACTGTTTGAATTCCAAGTGTTCTTTGACATTAGCCCATGAAAACTAGACACTGGTTTTTGCATCCAAGAACTTTCTTCGTCAACACTGGGATTGATTCATTCCAGGACCACCTGTTTTTTTACCCAGGCCTCCAGTTAAGTTAATTGAAGTTTAAAAGAAGTTGGACCAAAGTGAATAAAGCACTCTACAAGTACCGTGTTGACGTGTGCAAGATGTTTAATTGAAGTGATAAAACACCATGTTGAATTGACGAAGAAGGATAAAACACACTCCAAGAAAATGGATACCATGCTATTGAAGTATTACAGATATCAATGACGAAGAAGAAGATTCCACACTTCATATTCACTTCCACCGAAGTGTTCATATGTATACTTCATGGAAGCCTAATTTGCATATTTGATCTGGCTTTTATCTTCACTTCCATATCATTTCTGCCTTCTTTATTTCATTGAATATTTGAAGTGTAGTTATGAAAGAGTGGTTGAAATAAATACTTCAGTATATTAACTTTATCATTTGGAAATTAAATCCGACTCTGTATTCAACTTCTTGTCAAAATTCGATGTGGTACCGCGCTTACCGCGATGTGTGTATTGGGCATGTTTTATTTGAGGAGGTTGTTTAATATGACCTTCATCTCATAATATAATTTCTGATCTAATTAAAGAAGTCAAGTGGTTTACTGTCGATCAATTCAACAGAAAACTTTCAAATGTCTTGGTGGGGAAGCATTAGATAAACTTGCCCCAGACAGTGGTTGGTCATGCTGTTCAGGATTGGGTTTTAGTCAGAATAAGACCGTCTTGTACACCGAGATTCCTGTTTTCCAGAGAATAACTTGAAACCAAAAAAAATCATTATTCAGTACACTATGCTCAACTTATCTTTCACTTCGGACCACTAAATCGCTTGTGGACAACGGGGTTTGAGAGCACACACATCTACTTTACAGAATCTGCTAGACAAATAAAAACTGCTAAAATGCTTTCCATATCATTGTCGACGAGACATCAGTTGTCATACTTGGTTAATGATTGCATTAAGAACTGTGCAAAACAAATGGATTTTTGGTAATAATGCAAATATCAGAACATCGACAAATGTTATTTTCAAAAGCACAGAAGTTAATCAATGCATGATACTAATTGTTTCCAGAAATGAAAAGGGTGAGCAGTGTAGAAGTAACATGATGAATATATTTAGGGAATACCTTTAAGTTGTCACTTGGAATGACGTCGGTCCAATATTTGATTTGCAGTCAAATGAAATAAATGACAGTGCTTCTATTAGTGATCTATTGGAAATATGGCCATTCACTTTTTCAGTTGCAGTGAATTATCAATCATTTTAGACACATCACCGTTATTGACTCAAGTCGTATATACTATCATGTTTTAAAGAGAGCAAGACTGACAATTTAGATAATGTTCCAGTTAACCATAGACAATTAATGGTGTCATTTTTTAAAAATATTTTAAAGAAAATGATGAATATTTGTTGGTGTAGGTGTTTAATTGGTGAATACCTTGATGGAGTTCGAAGATGAGCATTTTCTGCTCTTATCGTCGGTGTAAACCTACACTAAGACTTTCTTCTCTCGTTTCCGCATATAATATACGCGGAAACTAGAAAAGAAAGTGTGGGTTTATACCGACGATAAGAGCTGGATGTTAGCAACACTGCACTGGTTGATATTTCTGGAACATTATTCCAATTCATCCACACCGGGTAAAATGAAAGTAGTAATCAGTACAACATTTTCATGAAATAGCCGTCTTGAAATTAGTGGGACCTGATTTTGATTTTAGATGCAAAATAAACGACTTTTATTTTCAACACATTACAGTTATATAAAGACTTCTCGAGACAAGGATTACTTCTTTTTCAGTTATTGGAGACCGCGGTCCTCAATCGTTCCCGTAACTGGCCTGTTAACTAGATTATCCAAGATTCAAATCTGGGTGTGGGGAATGAATAACGTAGGAACGTCTGAAGCCCGATTCTATCTTGTCAAAGTTACGACCCATGGAACTGACCTGGCGTGCACGTAAATTAACCCCTGGCAGTTGAAATTCTGCGCATCGAGGTGCGCTACAAAATTATCCTATTGAAACTTTAATATGGTCATCCTCTGGTGCCGAGGCGCATTTTCCCGATCGTCTACCCGTGGTAACAATCATGCTATTATTAACGTATTGAAAACGTTAGAAGGCCAGGGCTGGATTAACAATTATGCAGAATAAACATATGATTAGGGTATCACCGGGAGGGGGGGTGGGGGCATCAGCTCTGTTTGGTAGCAAATTTAAATAAGAACTGTTAATGAGTTTTTCATGGTTGTTCTCCTTCCTTACGGCTGCATGCTTTGTCTCAATTAATTATGACGTATATAAAATCTCGTTTTGAAAAATACAAATTTATTATATGGTTTATTATTGCTTATATTTGGAATTACATATGAGGGCACTACAATCCGTTGGGTCTCTGTTCGTCCTAATCCGGCCCTGCATCTGGCTCGACATTTATTAGCTCCA